GAAAATGATTTACTTCCTGCCATAATTTGTATTATATTATGATATAAAGTAGTTAAAATTATTACGCAAAACAAATTTAAGTCATGATGTGTTAATTGCTAATACATGAAAGTTTTCAAATAATTAACATAATTGAAAGTCTGTATATCATACACCATTTTTTAATATCTAAATTTAGGGATTACTGATAAATTTTGAACGCGCAGTTGATTGTGGCTGTGGCATAGGACGTGTCACAAAACATCTTTTGCTACCACTATTTCAATCGGTCGATATGGTAGATGTTACTGAAAATTTTATTCAAGGTAACATTTTGATTGTTAATAAGTTTGAAAAAACGTTCCACTTTGCCGTAGATGCATTTATCATGAAATGAATGGAATTTTCTATAGTTGTTAACGGAAACTATATTACATGCAAACTTTTTTTAACATCGTTCAAGCAGTGCTTTAATATTACCTGTAAAGTGTTATTAAGTAATAAAACTTATGCTCTTTATTGTTACAGAATCTGCCAAATATATTGGAAAAGAAAGTGATCACATTGGTCGTAAATTAGTATGCAGTTTGCAGCAATTTGAACCACCATCATTTAATTATGATCTCATTTGGATTCAGTGGGTAACTGGTCATTTAACTGATGATGACCTTTGTAAATTCTTCCGGCGGTGCAAAGTAAGTTTCGCATTACATAGTCGTTGCTGTCGTAAAAAATATAAGAGTTTTTCTAGAGAAATGACTTGCAAATATGTTTATTAATCCTACACAATTTTTCGTATAAGAAAAAAGATTGGTGCATCTTTGAAAACTACACTTTCTTGGTTTGAATTATGAATTATGCCGACGTTTCTCTGACAACAATAAATAGTCAGAAGGAAGAAAAACTTAAAAGAAAAGTTCAGATAGTCCTGAGAAGGAAAAACTTCTGCCTTGATTTTTATTGACTTATTTTTAGAAAGGTTTAAAAGCAAATGGATGTATCGTTTTAAAGGAAAATGTGTCATTATCAGTCGACTATTGTGATTTCGATGAAAAAGATAACAGTTGGACACGACCCAAGACTGCATTGTTGGAGTTATTTCAGAAGTCTGGTCTTACACTCGTTGCGGGAAAACGGCAACGAAAATTTCCCAAAGGAATGCTCCCTGTATATATGTTTGCGTTACGATGAATGTATTCAGATATTCTTACGTGAAATTTTTGTTTTTTTTGTGTACTTTTTGTTGAATTTATATGTGTTCGAATAAATTGTGCAGTATGTGTAGTACTGTTCATTTGGAAGTTATCACTCACAAAATAAGTGCATATTTCTCATTTACTGTTTAGTTTTTACAAATAATTCACTTTATTCAACATAATGCCATGTTTTGTTGCATTTATCTGCAACTTTGATACAAGGATTTCATTTCAGTGCTTACATCTCAATGATTTTCATCCTGTGCTAATAGTACAAGGGATGCTTGTTTTTGTAATCATAAATACTTCATCAGAAACCAGAAGGAAGTCTAGTATTTTGCTGTCATCTGAAAAGATACTGCATCGTTTCTTTAACTTTGTGGAATGATCGAAAGAAGCGTTGAAACTCACTTACTAGATGATTCATATGTATCAAGTAATATTACACTGCTAATTGAAATCTGCTAATTATGATAACCGCATTAAAGAAAAAATTTGTGGGTGTAGATACTAGTGAACATGGTAGCGAGCCTAGCCAAATGCCTTATGGTATTGCAACTCTTGATCATAAATTGCAGAAGAAGTATTCAAAGGGTGTACAGTATAACAGTAAGTTTTTATTCCTTACTACATTAAATGATTAACGAACCGTCCGCAAGCAGTTGTGTAGTATTTCAGTAATCGTTTAGCACTAGGATTTGGTTTTAGTAAGAAAGTATCGTACAAGCTAATGCTCGAAAATTATTCAGCAAGTAAAATATTTATTACAGTGAAAATTGTTATTCGAGGTGATCGCAATGTTGGCAAAAGTTGTCTATGGCGACGTTTACAAGGCCTTTCCTTCATCGATGAATATATACCAACAGATGAAATACAGGTTCATACAATTTAATAAGTATCACTGTTGTCAAAAATGTGATCGAAGAAATTTTTCAGTTTATTTTTTTATTTTTTGTTGTTACTGTAGTGGCATATGTATATAATGTCATGTTACCAGTTAAGTTGAAATAATTGACCTCGTTCAAGTAAACCTGAGAATAGTAAGTTCAGGTGGCATCTATACAGTGGAGCTATCGTGTAACAGATGATGTTGTGAAAGTTGATGTGTGGGATGTGGTCGATCGAAGCACCAAAAAGCGTATTAAATCGGAAGGCTTGAAATTCAAGAACGCGAAAGTAGAAGTATTTTAATGCATCTCATTCATTTTTTTTGTTGCTCTTTTACTAGTGTAAGCCTTTTTTGAGTAAAGTTTACATAAAACGAAAACTAAAATCACAAGATTTAGTGTTATAGAAATATCTTTTCTTTGATTTCAGTTTGAGGAATTTGCTTGTGATGCTCAATTTGTTAATGTGTACAAAGGAGCCAATGGAGTCATACTAATGTTTGATATCACTAAAAATTGGTATTTAAATTTTCATAGTATTGTGTCATTAATATTAAAAGTAAAAGCAATTATAAGAAATCTGTAACTCAGTAAATAGTAAATTAGTCATATTGTTCAGTATCAGATAACGACGTAAAAATTTCTCATTAAGCTCTGTCATAGTCTCATAGTAAACAATCATTGTTTCTCTTAATTTTCGTTATTTCCTGTTTTTGACGTAGGACATGGGATTATGTGACTCGAGAACTATTGAATATCCCGAGTAATATACCGGTATTAATCCTCGGTAACAGACGAGATATGGGACACCATCGACAAGTTTCAGATGATGTTTGTCGAGCATTCATAGAAAACTATAAACGGTTAGCCCAAACTATTTATGTATTTTTTATTTGCTCTATCCGTAAACATTTCGTGACATTATTTTTGTTCTTTTTATTTTTCAAAACTTGATTGATCACAAATCATTGTAGGATTTTTATTATATTTTTGCAAAGTGTATGTGTTATAGATTACTGCAAAGTAAGTCGATTTTCAAAAATTGTTTTACAAGAAATATATTCAAGTTAAAGATGTATAAAGAAGAGAACAAACAAATTTTCGTCTGGTGCGTCAATCTCATTTTTGCAGCTTTCATTAACCAAAGTAGCAGTAGAGTTGTAAACAAGTTGTCTTAGGAATGGGTTGTTTCCGCCGTTTAATCTAGCAATTATTATTTCACTCTCTATTCAGAGATGCTATATTTATGAGATTGCTTCTACACTTATTGTTAATTTTAGGCCATTGCGCATAAATTAAGAAATGAAAAGTACTTTCGTACTGTTAAAGATAGTTTTCTGCCTTCCTTCCTTAACATTCTTTAGTTTTCATATAGATTGTAGAGTTGTTTGCACTGCATTTTACGATTGCTACTGATAATGCAGTCTTCCGTTGTTTTATCACTGATAAGCTTTTATTTCATCAGTTAAATTTTGCTACGATTGTTGGCAGAAATTACTTTGAGGATATTATTGAAATATTCTCGTGAAAGGCAAAAGTTCTGAAAGTAATATTGTATTCGTATATTGAATATACTAATATTATGAACTTTTCGATAATGCAGTGCTTTAATGTATGCAATAGTGGTGCAAATTTTATCATAATATTAAACAAAGTTTCGTGGATAACTGTTGCTCGACATTCGACGGCAGCATTATTCTACTTATTAGTACTCGTGCAGTGGCCTACCAGTAACTTAAGCATGGCTAATATTACAGCTACTCGAGTAGGTCTAACAAACACTGCTTTTATATTGTTCTTTTGGTGTGCTATTTTTTATCATTACATGGTATCCGCGGGACGAGTAGAAATTGACTGGATTAACGGAAGATTTCTTGCTAGTGGTTGGTTAGTTCAAAGTTCACGTCGTACTCATCGATTACTCTTAGTATTATCAGTTGCTGTGTCATCTGCAGCAGTTATTCATGCAAGTACTTTGCATTTACTGTTGAATGCTGAACGGCAATCACTCGAATTTCCATCTACTTCTTTATCATTTAATATTTTGAAGATTGATTTCTTCTTTGTTTTATTATTTGCTCTATACTGTGGTGCTCGATTAAGTTTAGAACCAACAGGACTTTCAAAAAGGTCACGCCATTCTGCTGTAACTGTTGTGGCACATACTACCTCCCTTCCATCGCCATCTACTTCAAGTTCTAGAAATTGTACAGAATCTGTTGTTAGTTTAATTGATTCTTCACAAAGATATATACCGCAAGAAGTGCTACAACCACATCATAAATGCCCGCAGTACATTGAAGAATGCAAAATTTGTCTTCAGTACGTTGCTGATCGAGTAATTGGTTGTAGTCATGTGCTGTGTAGTAGTTGTTTATTGAAAATAATTATGGAATGTCAAGGCGAAAACAGCCTGAATGGTATTCGTTGTCCGTTTTGTCGACAACAGATATGCTATGTTCGAGAAATTCAATTTACTGTATCTGATTGCTTCATTCCTATTTCTGAATATGTAATTCTTCATTAAATTACTCATCAGTAATATTAGACTTTCATGCTTTACTCATTCATTTTAAATATATTTATTGTTAGCTTATTTCTTATGTCATTGATCTTGATTCAATTTCCTTGAGTTTATGAAGTTAATGGATAGCTCCAAGCCAGAATGACTCTTATGAATTCAAATGTTTGGCAATTCCGTGAGGAATCTGTAAATACAAAGTTTATTAAAACCATGTGGAATTACTTATATATCTTTTACGGTTTTCATATTTTTTAAACTCCTGTTACTAAATCAATGTGAATAGCATTTGTTCGCCATGTAGAATATCCGGTATAATAGTATCATTTAATGGACTACGAATTATTATTTTTTGATATTTGAATTGCTGAGTACATCATTTGCTATAATATTGCCTACATTCATTTCAAAATGGATGCCTTCTCAAAAATTATTTCGTTTGCGTGTAAACATTTATGGGTATTCAGATTAAGAATATTTTTTCATCAAACTAATTCCATATTAAATGTAAGTAAATTTCAGCATGAAAAATATTTTACTGTATAACTTAGTATAAGTTATTCTTGATGAGAAAAAAATGATTGTGAGGGAGAAATTTTTAATCTTAATTCATACAATATTCTTGGTTATAATAACCAAATTAGGGTGAATCGCGATGGTATATCTCTAGAGGCAATATCAGTATCATTGTTTCAACTTTGCGTTTTCAATTTGGAGCAGTTTGATAATATTTCAAAAATTGTTCAGTTATTTATAAGTTGATACGGTAGTATCAAGTTTGGTTAGGATGATTTTCTGAATTTCATAGAAAAATAACAAGACTGCAGTCATTAATATTAGCAGTGTATACTTTTAGTATTATGAGGTGAAAAAATAATTATTTAAGTTGGCTTTTATTACTGTACTACCGTAAATTTTACTTACAGTAAAGGAAATGAGCCTGCTGCGATTCGTTATTCACAATGTTCAATGCGCAATGCTTTTGGATTGCGTTTTCTTTATCTCTTCTTTAATATACCGTTCTTATATCTACAGGTAAAATTCAAGTGTGAGTAATTTTTTTTCCAGTATATGATTATAATAAAATCGCCAAATCTGTAGTGTTGTTTGTTTTCTTGCAAGTCTTAGCATATTCATTCTAATTTAATTAATTTGATATTAAATTTAGTTACTGTAATATTGCACAAGATCCAGTGTTTAAATCCAACTTGAGCAGTGGATTGAATTCAGTAGTTGTGTTTTGTAGAACTCCTTATTATCTGAACATGAATTTTCAACTTCTCAAACTTGAATTAAATTTTTTGTTGTAGCGAGAAACACTATTGGGTCAGTTAAAGACCAATCAACGTGATATCAAGTTAAGTTTCGATGAGCTGGATATGTTTGAAGAAACACAAGATGCGAGCTATGATAAGTGAATACTGATTTTGTTATTATGATTGTTATTAATTTCTGTTTGTATTTGTTTACTTGTAGAACCAATTGCATGAACTGTTTTTAGTATTTGTTTAAAGTAGCAACTCTTTTTACATCTATAATAGTGTGCTTGCTGTAGGTTCATTGAGAATGTGGCCGCGCGTCGAAGACTCGCTGCAGAAAAAGCTGCGCCTTTATCGATGTCTGAAGCAACAGGACGTGGATTGCCGGTTGGTGGTGGACAGCTCATACCATATAGTGGATTTCAAGATGAATCTCGTGTTTGCCAACATTCAAAAGATATTGTATCGTTGTCAGATGCCACGCAGTCTCTCAAGAATCATTCAGGCTTGTTATGAGCGATTATTTTTAAAAATAAATTACTGAATTTTCAACAAAATATTTTTTCTTTCATTTACAGAAAATTTTGCAAATAGTTCGATGCAGTCAGCTGTTCTTCAGTCGCCTTCAAAATTAGACAATACGTCGCAAGAGGTGAAAATAGACATAGATGTGTCTCTTAATCACGCTTGCAGTAGCGATGAGTAAGTTGACTTTGTATTTAGTAGTTTAGTGGTTTCGACTGTGGTACTGATTTATCTCTAGAGAGATGAACAATATGGTAACTACTTACGAGGAAGACATATCATCTGAAGAGGAATTTCAAGCTGAAAAAGCGGTGATATCACAAAAGCGATTGGATAATTCTCGATTACAGTCATCTTCTTCGAATCGAGAACCACAAACGCCTATAGGTAATTTATGTAACTTTATTTGTTTAAAAAATATGTTATTGAATTATTTGTCGAAATTCCGTTTCTTCGAACTATTCTCGTCATGAAAATTTTTTTTCAGCTTACCGAGTACCTATCACTAATTCTACTCATGACGTTAATGGAAGTAGTGAGTATGAAATATCACACAAAAGAATGCAATCAAAATTTAGCAATGATGATTTCGATTCTTGGCTTGATGATATCGATAGCGTAGAAGATACTACCGGTGAGCTTCTTCCCACATTTTAAGATGAATAAAAAATTGAATTTAATGCCAGAAATCATAAAAATTTGAGATCATTTAAGTAATTTCAAACTACGGAAATTATTTCCTTATTAGAAGTGCCATTCAAAGATCCGGATGATACAGTGCCGAACTTATTGGTTGCTGCTATACCTGTTGATTCTGAAAGTGATGACGATATCAAACATCATGTTGTCTCCTCTAGAGGTACTTATGTCGAGGGAAAAAATTTTGACGTGAAATCAAAAAGTAGCATAAAGAAGAAGACAGACAAGATTTCTCATCATGAAGAATTACCCAGTACACATGATCATAACCAGAAAAATAGTAAAATATTGTCAAAAAGGTGCCTTTTTGACAGAGAGTGTTCCATAAATCCGAATAGTTATGACCCTCTGTAAACATATATTAAGCCAACTGTCTTTCATTACTTTCGTAAATAATAAATACAAATGGAGCTTGAATGCAGTTTCTTATACATAAGGATTTGAGATCTTTGAACAAATAACACTAAGATATGAATGTGTATTTGAGATTATCGTTTACCTGATTTTAAATTAGTGTAAAACTGTCATCAGCAGGTTGTTTCTACTTCTCACCTCTGCAATCAATTACCCACGTTCTGAGTCACTTAGTCTGTGTTGTGGTGTTGTAATGTAATAAATTTATTTGATAGTGAAGGAAGATATTTGCAATTACTTTCGTTTTATTGTATTAAGATGTTGCAAATTTAATAAAAATGTCCAGCAGCAGAACTATAGAAGATGATAGCACTTCTTCTTCATGGATTTATTTCCATCTGGTCTGAATGCTTTTTGAATCCATCGTTTTCAAAGGTTTATCTGACGAAAATGAAGCAATCAATTTGTTCACTTTATAAACAATATGATTAGAAGCATGAAGTCACGTGCTTTCATAACGGGACAAATTTTTGGCCGCACTTTTGGATTTTCAAATTTTTTTTCATAGTTTTAAGAAAATGATAGAAATTATAAATAAAGAAAGTTAGGACGTGTTTTCGTTAAGGTTGCTCGTAGTAATGTTGTCGAGATTATAGTTTCTTATAATCATGAGATTTGAGAGGTTTTCAGGTTATTACTCTGTATTGGCTCGTGATTTTTTGCTTTTTTGTCTGAGAAACGAATTATGACAGATGTATGGAAGTCTAACGCAAGAAAGTTCTGCGAACTCTGCAAGGTTGTTTATTGTTACCGATAAGATAAAAGTTTCTTCTGTTTAATCGCAGAAAATCGAAATTTTTGTGCTCCTTGTAGACAATGTTATGGAGTGATTCATACAAATTTTGGAACTTGTAAAATTGCAAGATATCAAGATACATTTTAGGTATGGTTTGCTGATAATCGAGTTAGTATAGAACATCATGAAAGAGGACAAAAGCACAAAAATGCAATCCAGGCTAAACTACGGGAAGTTGGTAAAAAAAGCAAGCAAAAAGCACAAGAGGTTGCATTATTTGCAAATTTTAAGACTTTGATAGATATGAGCCAAGTCTTTTTTATAATGAATTTGTTAACTTCTTCTGCGTCCTGATTAAGTAGGTTAACAAATTTGTGAAGATTTAGAGTACATGAAATATAATTGGGAAGTAGGTATCTTTTATGGGATTGTCTATTGTTGAATGGTTTTAAAGCTTTTTGGTATGTATGCAATAGAAAGTCTCCCCTCTGATAGAATTACTCAGAATATGAATGTTTATAGCAAAATAGACTGCAAGCCACTTTGGCAATGATGGAAACGGCAGCGAGAAAGAGCATGCAAACGAACGACGACCCATCGTTTTCAGGTTAGTCAATTTCCTTATTTGGTTTACACTTGAGTTAGAAGTTTGTAAAAAATAATGCAGATATTTCAGCGGAAATTATTAGTCGACCTCCGAAGCTAGAAAATCATGTGAATCCTTCTGCACATCCGGTGCCATCTCAAAAAATGAATCGTGAAATAGTGAAAAAAGTGGGGTTTTCTTGCTTTTGAATTTACAGTTTTTTATATACATTTGATCATTATCACGATTTTCGCTGTCAGGAAAAAATAGAAATGAAAAAGACGGGGAATGCACAGAAAACAAATAAATCCAGTGCAGAAGATGAAATAGTATGGGTTGAAGCAATATCAGACGGTGGTGTGCCGTACTACTTTCATGTGTATAGCGGAGGTTAGATCTGTTCCGTGTCTTTAAGTAGTTGTAGATAGTCATTTCGTTGCTTAATGTTTTTGTTGCATTTTTTGGTTGCGATGTTGCATTTTATCACATATATTTTGAATGCAGCAATTCTCAGACATAGTACTGAAAAAAAACAGTATAATTGGGCTTATAATCGTTTTTCCAGCATCTGTTTGGGAGAAACCTCAAAAATACTACACAGAGAAGCAGTATGCGCTTAAATTAGCTGAAATGCATAATAATAATGATGCTGTCGTAAAAAGCTCCTTGAATTTATCAAATGTAGTCAAAGCAGGTATATAGATTTTATTTACGTTTAGGTGTAAGGTGTTTTAGAATCTGGATCACATTTATAGATGCGAAATATTGCTCTTCAATGTTTTCTTGAATTTAGTGACAATTTACAATGTAGAAAATGAGAATAATGAGAATTCCAATCTTAGAATTAACTTATCATATTGATACAGCAGGAGACATATAGCGCTGAAATTATTTGTAAAACAAATACTGTTGAGGAGAGCCATTAGAAGTTGCTGAAAAAATAAAGATTTAAAATATATAGTTTTATTAAACTATTTTGCGTGCTTTGGTATTTGAATTATTTTTCGGAATTTTTTGTCCTCAATATGACCAGGGACTTTTTTCAGATATATTGGGCTCTAGTACCGATGGGTCACCAAAAGAAGTATCGCGAAATTTGCATTCAATGAATGTTACTACAAAATTTGTTATCAATAGCTGTGATATTCCATTGCCTCCAGTTCCTCAGGTTTGGGTCTTTCATATTTTATTTTCATTGTTTTCATTTTTCTGGTTTCATAGGTCTAACAAATGTCACAGTTAGCCAATATTATCCTTGTACTTAGAAAAGGAATTACAGAATCAGGAGCAACCAAATTTAGCTGTTAAAGTTGAAGCTGTGAATATAAAGGATTGTCATATTACTCCTCATGATTGCTTACCATGCACCTCACGAGTGAATGTTAAAACTGAACCAAAAGACGTTGAAAAAAGCACTGTTGTGCGAAAGGAATCTGCTAAATGCAGTCCTTATGGTCCGTGGATTCCGGTTGTAAAACCAGCGGAAAAGCCGAAAATGTTAGTATTTTAACCTTGATAAACATGCTTGGCAATATTACTCTACAATTAGTGCTATGGTGCAGTTGTTTGTTTGCTTTTTTTTCTATGAAAGTCTTTTCCTGTGACAAATATTAATATATCTGTTCGATTGTAAGCATATGTTTTTTCTTGATTTACAGTGATTGGGAGTTACCTACCAAAGAAGAAGGACGCAAAGAAGTTGCTGAACCAACTTTATTACCGGAAGATATTGCAATACTTGGTGATAAAACTGTTGTGGTAAAGCGAAAAAAAATAACGGGACCTATAGAATTTAAAAAAAGGAAAACAGTAATGAGAATTAGACGACCTGACAGTGATTGATAAGAATTATGCTTGATAAATAATTGCATTTCTTTACATTTTCAATGAACTGTCTTCTAGTCTGGTTTTCAAGTTTGTAATTTTTATACTGCTCGATAAATAATTGTAGTCCTGTACATTATGAGAGTGTTCATTTTTTGCAAAATCAATGCAATCATTGCTGTTATTGCATCATATGTTGTCCCTGCGTGACATTGTTTATGGAATACTTGTTTGTACTATTATCACTAACACTAATCTGATAATTGTTGTCATAATGACGCACCATGATTTCTTGCAGTACCTCAGTGATGTATAATTTTTCTCTTAGAAGTCAGTGTTATTAAGAATGAAATCCTAGATTATAAGAAATTAAGATCAAAAGTAAGATATAAGGTTTTGCCAGAAGTGCTCTGTTAAATAAAATTTGATAGTAAGTGATGTAGATCAGCGGATGTTTGCGAACTACATAGTTACGTATAAGTGGGGTACAGCTATAGCAACCCACTATTGAAGCTACTTCTTGTGAAAGTACGATTACATATTTGTTTATGTCAACATGAACAAGGTATTTGTGCAACTACTGGTAATTCATGAGATGGAAGTACTAAATTTCGCTAATGTTTGTTTATGATGTGGAATTCAGTGCAATCAATAGCAAAGGATAAAGCATATACAAACATTAAATGCATTGTTAGTAGCTTGCGGATGAGATTTGCTGAATGAATGAATGGATGGTTTCGTGGTTGGTGAGGGATGGGAAAATATTTTTCGTGTGAAGTTTTGCTGGATGGCATGACTTTATTTTTCGCGTTGATATGCTACTTCACGCATGACAAGCTGCAGTTGCTTGTATTCAGTTACGTGGAAATTTTAAATTAAATATTTATGCATATGTGGAAGTTCTCAGCTGATGATTTTATAGCACAGATCTATTGATGTAAATAATGTTTTACTGTGATAAATTGATTAAATATAATTTGTCTGACAAATTCAGAAGGTTTTAACGACTAGTAACTGCATATTTTTTTAAATACGATAATTTGCAGGCCATATTTAAGCTCAAAAATCCCAATTTAGACTATGCAGTCAAGCGAGCATGCATAAACGTAAGCAAATACTTCAGCTGGTAAATACCACTAAATGTCATCAATAACATCACGTAAACGTACGTCGTTAGCCACATGTGTCCATATTTCTACGTTTACAATGTAGTTACTAATTAATGTAACCTTTTAATGCAACTAGAATGTTATATAAAGGCCAAATCGCTGATGCTTATTAGTTAACACTCTTGAATTATTACAATATTTTATCTATAATTCCCATTCACTTGCAAGCTTGTAACATTACTTTTCAACATTTTTTTAGCGACTACTTTGTAAACTATTTGCATATCTTAATATTTTGAAACTAATTAGTCGACGTGACCCCTAATCTCATAAAATTGGCATTTCGCTAGGTAAAACTTTCTCACTAATAACTTCTGAAAAAACAAATTAGTACATTATTTGGTATTTTCCGGTGGGCCGCATTTCAAGATATCGTCCAAAGTATACTTATATATATCTATAAATACTTGTGTATTTACATGACTTTTCCAGGATACGCCTTGTACCTATTAAAGTCTTACTTTACTCAATATATTCATTTCTTAAGTAATATAACGCGTACGTTATAATTTAATTCGAAATTGTCTCATTTAGCCTGCGTGTTGCACAATGAGCGGTTAATTTCTATTGTTCAAGTTTAAATGTTGCATGTTGCCTTAGCAATTCTTCGAATAAACTAAAAAGCATATTGGTATGGAACTAAGACCATAGTTTTTTCTTAAGGTATTTTTCCATACTCAATAATAATTAAGATGAAAATAGTAATGAAGTATTTTTCCACTTGCCATTTTTTTTGCGTAATATTTATTTATATACTTATTATTTATTTACTTATATATTTAATATAATTATTTATTTATTGTTTTGATATAAATTTTGTTTTTTGTTTTAGGCTGTTAAAAAAATAAGCACTGTAATTATATGTCAAAATTGTGTACATTGCTCTTTTGCTACGTATTAATTGCTTTTTGGGTAGTAAATAGCTAATATTATACAAAATACTTAATATTTAATTTAATATTTTTATGAAAAAAAATCTATTAAACAGTCGTTGAAATACTTCCGAAGGTTAATATCAACTCACCGAACTAAATGCTAGTAAGATAAGCTAAAGATTATAGATAAGTTGAGTTCATTTTATTCGTTGCATATGCTATAATATGTTTTCGTGGTAACGATCATAGCTGTTAGTAACACTGGGTGGGTTGAAGTTTGTTTGTATTAGTCACTTATCGACAACGTTCACAAATTAGCATTTTAGTGAACTTTGAAAGAATTCGTTTTCAGATATTCTAAATGAATTATTTAAGTTTTTGATAAAAATAGAAGCTGTGTAAATTTGCCATAATGGCCTTTCTTAAGAAACGAGGATATAAATTTCATGTCGATTTGGAATTGTTGCACTTAAGCGATGTGCCATTGGTAAATGCT